GCGGCGGAGGCAAAGGAATTGGGAATAGGGGATGGCATTTTTGCAGGAAGGTGGGTGGGAGGAGGAGTATTCTAGGTAGCTGTGGGAGTCGGTGGGTTTGAAATGAATATCGGTTTCTAGGTGGTTGCCCGAGATGGAGACAGAGAGGTCCAGGAAAGGGAGAGAGGTATTAGAGATGGTCCAGGTAAACTTAAGGTTGGGGTGGAAGGTGTTGGTGAAGTGGATGAACTGTTCAAGCTCCTCTTGGGAGCACGAGGCGGCACCAATACAGTCATCAATGTAACGGAGGAAGAGGTGGGGTTTAGGGCCAGTGTAGGTACGAAAGAGGGATTGTTCCACGTAACCTACAAAGAGGCAGGCGTAGCTTGGGCCCATGTGAGTACCCATGGCCACCCCCTTTGTCTGTAGGAAGTGGGAGGAATTGAAAGAGAAGTTGTTGAGGGTGAGGACGAGTTCGGCTAGGCGGATGAGGGTGTCAGTGGAGGGGGACTGGTCGGGTCTGTGGGACAGGAAGAAGCGGAGGGCCTTTAGGCCATCTGTGAGGGGAATGCAGGTGTAGAGGGACTGGACGTCCATGGTAAAGATGAGGTGTTGGGGACCGGGGAATTGGAAGTTCTGGAGGAGGTGGAGGGCGTGGGTGGTGTCATGGACAAAGGTAGGGAGTTCCTGGACCAAGGGGGAGAAAATGGAGTCCAGATAGTTGGAGATCAGTTCGGTGGGGCAGGAGCAGGCAGAGACAATGGGTCGACCGGGGCATTCAGGTTTGTGGATTTTGGGAAGGAGATAGAAGCGGGCAGTGCGGGGTTGGGGAACGATGAGGTTGGAGGCCGTGGGTAGGAGGTCACCTGAGGTGATGAGGTTGTGGATGGTTTGGGAGATGATGGTTTGGTGCTCAGGGGTGGGGTCATGATCAAGGGGGCGGTAGGAGGAGGTGTCGGAGAGTTGGCGTCTGGCCTCGGCGATGTAGAGGTCAGTGCGCCATACTACAACTGCACCTCCCTTGTCCGCGGGTTTTATGGTGAGGTTGGGATTGGAGCGGAGGGCTGCACGTTCTGCGGGGGAGAGGTTGGAGTGGGTGAGAGGGGTGGAGAGGTTGAGGCGATTGATGTCTCAACGGCAGTTGGAGGTGAAGAGGTCGAGGGAGGGTAGGAGGCCTTGGGGTGGTGTCCAGGAGGAGGGGGTGTGTCGGAAGCGGGAGAAGGGGTCAGTGGAGGGAGGGTTAGGTTCATGGTTGAAAAAGTAAGCGTGGAGGCGGAGGCAGCGGAAAAACTGCTCAATGTCCAAACGTGAGCGGTATTCGTTGATCTGTGGGTGGAGGGGGACAAAGGTGAGCCCTTTACTGAGGACTGACCGTTCGTCCTCAGTAAGGGGTAGGTCTGGGGGGATGGTGAAGACTCGGCAGGGCTGGGTGCTATTGTCCCCTCTGGAGCTGCTGGCTGTGGAGGCTGTGGGCGGAGCAACGTCAGCGTTGGCGGTGGGCGGAGTTGTGTTGGCGTCAGCGGTGGGCGGAGTTGCGTCGGTGGTGAGCGGAGTTGCGCCGGCGTCGGCGGTGGGCGGAGTGGCATCGGCGGTGGGGGGAGCGGGGTAGGCGCTGGCAGTAGCGGTGATGGTGGGCGCGACTTCAGTGTCGGTGGTTATGGTCTCGGAAGTGGAGGCGGTGGCATCAGCAGCGATGGCGTTCGCTGTCCTGGAAGTGGGGAACCCGGCGGTGGCGGATGTGACGTCATCTGTGGGTTCTCCGACAGTGGCCTCATGGCCAATGGCAGCGGGCACATTGTGGGGAAAGTCCTGGGTATGGCTGGGGATTTGGGGGGTGGAGGAAGCCCGTTTTGGGTGGTAGGCACCAGTAAGTTTACTGTACTTACGGTTTTTAGTGTCCATCTGACACTCCTGTTTATATCTATCAGCCACAGCTCACTGATTGGCCCAGGTTAACAGCCCCAAACACATAGTCAATATGATCCACCTGGCTATGGTTCCAATCATGACAACTGCCTGTACTCATTGAAACTGATGCTGTTGCAAGGCAGGAAATTCTCTTTTTCTCCAAATTCTCAGTTATTCAAAACTGTTGATCAGCTGTTTATCAATTGGTTTTTCAAATATCTATCAAAGACAGCCACTGCTTCTACCTTGGTGCACATTTGGCTCCAACAGGGTGTTTTAGCTGATATGGCAATGTTTATGTTATATCCTATAACATCAGAAACTGAATGATAGTATCATAGCATTGAAAGATCCAATGGACATTTATTAAAAATCACTATTATGTTGAAATATTACATTTGAGTTACATTGAGCAGGGAAATTGAGTTTAAGAGCCACGAGGTTATGCTGCAGCTCTGTAAAATCCTGGTTAGGCCACACTTAGAATATTGTGTTCAGTTCTGGTCGCCTCATTATAAGAAGGATGTGGAAACTTTAGAGAGGGTGCAGAGGAGATTTACCAGGATGCTGCCTGGAATGGAGGGCAGGTCTTATGAGGAAAGGTTGAGGGATCTAGGGCTTTTCTCATTGGAGCAAAGAAGGATGAGAGGGTACTTGATAGAGATGTACAAGATGATGGGAGGCACAGATAGAGCGGATAGCCAGAGACTTTTTCCCAGGGCAGAAATGACTATTATGAGGGGGCATAATTTTAAGGTGATTGGAGGAAGGTATAGGGGAGATGTTAGAGGTAGATTCTTTACACCGAGAGTGTTGGGTGTGTGGAATGTGCTGCCAGCGGTGGTAGTGGAGTCAGATACATTAGGGACATTTAAGCGACTCTTGGATAGGCATATGGATGATAATAAAATGTAGGGTATGCAGGTTAGTTCGATCTTAGAGTAGGATAATAGGTCGGCACAACATCGTGGTCTGAAGAGCCTGTACTGTGCTGTACTGTTTTATGTTCTATGTTCAATGTTCTATGTTCTTGTTCTATGTTCTATTTCTCAGGTCCATAAGTATCTGGGATAATATTACATTGTCATGTTATGTTATAACAGAGGAGCATGCTTTCATTATTTTTATAAAAATTCATTCACGGGATGAGGGCATCACCGGCTAGGTCATTCCTAATTGTAAGAGGGCGGTTGAGAGTCAACCACATTGCCACGGGTCTGGAGTCACACATAAGCAAGACCAGGTAAGGATGGCAGTTTCCTTCCTAAACATCACTAGTGAATCAGATGGGTTTTTCCGAAAATCAACAATGGATTCATAGTCATTAGACTCTTAATTCCAGATTTTAATTGAATTCAAATTCCACTGTCATGGTAGGATTCAGTCCGGGTCCCCAGAGCATTACCTGGGTCTCTGTATTAACAGTCCAGCGATAATACCGCTAAACCATTGCCATTGAAAAATAGAACATGAGAACTTTATATCTTCAGGTCACTTGCTGTAATACAGTGATGATACCATGGGTATAACTTTTAAAGGTATGCTGCGTTATGAATCATCAGACATAACACAACAGACAAGCCTCTTTCACTCTCTTATCCTATCCGATCAGCATATTGTCCTATTCCTTTCACTTTCATGTGTTTATCCAACTTCTTCTGATTTACCGTAACTACCTTTTGTGGTAATGTCTGGTTAAAGACTTTTTTTTGTAAATTTCCCGTCTGATCTACTAATGACTATTTTATATTTGTCGCCTTATCTAGTTCTGGGCTGTCAAAAATGGAAAGATTTTCATTGCGTCTACCCTTTCATATCTCTTCATTACCATAAAGCTCTCCATCTGGTTCCTCTTCAGCTTTTGTTTCAAAAATAAAATCCCAGCCTGTACAAGCTTTCCAGTTAGTTCTAGCCTCTCACTCTTGGTTTGATTCTTTTTGATGTCCTTTTAATTTTTGAGGCCCCCAATCACACGGGGCCAATTTATTACCTTGGATAGAGGATTGGCTAGCCAACAGAAAGCAGAGGGTTGGGATAAGAGAATTGGCAAGATATAACTGGTGGGGTGCCACAGGGTTCGGTCCTCACCTATTTACACTCTGTATTAATAACTTGGATGTGGGGATAGATGGTACCATAGCCAAATTTGCAGATGCCACTAAAATAGGTGGGAAAGTAAGTTGCAATAAAGAAATAAGAAATTTACAAATGAATATAGATTGGTTAGCTGATGGAGTTTAATGTGGATCAGCATAATGTGATTCATTTTGGTCAGAAGACTAGAAAGACAACTGATTATCTAAATGGAGAGAAACGTCAGAGTGTTTGGTGCAGAGGGATCTGGATTTCCTTGTGAATGAATCACAGAAAACTAGTATGCAAGCACAGCAATTAATAAGGAAGACAAGTGGAATTTTGGCACTTATTGCAACAGGAATAGAGTGTAAAAGTTGGGAAGTGTTGCTGCAACTGTACAAGGCATTAGCAAGACCACACCTGAGCTATCATGTACAGTTTTAGACTCCTACTTGAGGAGTGATATAGTTGCACTGAAGGAAGTTCAGGTGAGATTCACTGGATTGATTTCAAAGATAAGGTTTTTCTTATGAAGTGGAATTGAGCAGTTTTGCCTATACTCACTAGAGTTTAGAAGAAAGAGATGAGGTCTAATTGAGGCATATAAAATTCTAAAGTAGGTTGACAAAATAGATGTAGAAAGTTTTAGGATAAAGGGTAGCAGATTTAAAACAGAGATGAGGAAAAATTACTTCTCTCAAAGGGTCATGAATCTGTGCAATTCACTACTCGAGTGCAGTGGATTCGCAGGACATTAAGTAAATTTAAGATGGAGATAGCAGATTTTTAATTAGTAGCGGGTTGAGGGATTATGGAGAGCAGGCAGAAAAGTAGAGTTAAGGCCAAGATTAGATCAGCTATCCTTGTATTAAATGTTGGAGCAAGCTCGAGGAGCTGAATTGCCTACTCTTGCTCCTAGTTCTTATGTTTCTATTTTCCCTTTCACCCCTCAGCACAACTTCACCTGGATGAGCTACCTGAGCATGTCAGCTATCTTTATCTTCGTAGCCTTCTTCGAGATTGGACCAGGCCCGATCCCTTGGTTTATCGTAGCTGAGTTATTTAGCCAAGGGGCACGGCCAGCTGCTATAACCATTGCGGGTTTCTGCAATTGGACCTGTAACTTCATTGTGGGAATGTGCTTCCCATACATTGCGGTAAGGGAATTTACAACCCGCTTTTTCAATAATATATAAGTTGGTAAAGACATAATCCAAACTGACATCTTAATGTGCCTTTGTTCAATACAGTAGTGTCTGCAGGATTCACTTATACTGTTCAATGTTACGCCCAACATGCTAAAGACTATGGTAAAATCACGCACTCCTAAACTCCATCAAAATTTGCATCTATTTCGCACTTTACGCATACAGCAGAACAAGTCAGAGTAGGAGAATTCCAAATGTTTTGGGCCCAGGTGATGTTAGAGCAAGTAAAATTAGGGATGTGCAAGAGGCCAGAATTAGAGAAGCAAAAACATCTCAGAGGGTTATGGGCTGAAGGAGCTTACAGAGACAGGAGAGATCTTGAAAGTCTTTGACAATATCAAAACGTTGCTTAAACTAGGAGACCAATTGTATGTCGGTGAGCAACAGTGATGAGCGAGTGGGAGTTGAAACACTGATGTATCACTGTAGCAGACAAAGGCTTCATTTTATTGGGCAGATGAAGTGAAAATTAAGAAGCACAGTGCCCAAAGTTATGTAGACAGAAATAAGGAAGAACACAATTTTATTCAATTTTATTGGCATGACTCTGATCTGATCAGATCAGAATGTTGTTTTATGGAACCATGGAAATTTTTCAGCAAATGAAGAGGCCAATCAGCTCATCACCCTTGCACTGATAGTTTAAACCAGCTGCCCATTCTAATCCCATTAAGGCCAAAATACATAGGAGCAGAAATTAGGCCATTCAGCCCATCGAGTCTGCTCTGCCATTCAATCATGGCTGAGAAGTTCCTCAACCCCATTCTCCTGCTTTCTCCCCATCACCCTTGATCCCCTTGATAATCAAGAACCTATCTATCTCAGTCTTAAATGTAGTCAATGACCTGGCCTCCACAGCCTTCTGTGGCAGTGAATTCTATAGATTTACCACTCTCTGGCTTAAGTTGGTCCTGATTCCAGAGCTTTGCAGCACTGCAGGTGCAGAGCCAGGTTCCTATGAAATCAGTTTCTTCCTCAACCAGCAAACAAGGGAGTAAATTCCAGACACCCTCCACCCATTGGGTGAAAAAGCTTTTCCTCATATCTCCTGTAGGTTTTAATCAAGATTTACTCTGCATTCGCTTCAGTGGAATGAAGAGTCAGGAAAATAATTGGTGGATCTGATGAAGTCAGGTTCCCTGATTGAACAGTTGGATGAAATTATACCCTAAGAGCTGAAATCCCTTATGACCATATGTGGATATTCCAGCTTATCGCTAAGGTCCTCAGTGTAGGCTGTAGTATGAATGTGATTGCAGTTGGGTAGGAAGTCTGATGATTGGAAAATGTGGTGAATTTGAAGGTAATGGGGAACTATTCCAATCTCCAGTTCTAGGCGTTTCCCCATTATAACCAATGTGAACCGAGAGAATAGACCGATGTATCAGATTTATCCATTGATCAGGAACTACAGTTGTCTAAAGAGACTTGTGACATGAGGGCTGTTTCACCTGAAGCAGACAAGGTTGACATGAGACGTGATTGATAATTATAAAGCAATGAAGGATTTTCGTACAATGTAAAGGGTAAAAAGTGCATTCTCATATTGGAGCTTAAGCAATGTGGGGTCATCAACTATTCTAAGATGGTGAATAAGAAATTTCTTTATGTAGACAATTTTTGGAAGATGGAAATACTTTAATAGCAGGGTGCTTTAAGGAAAATTGGCTCAATATTTGAAACAGAGGAAACTTTAAAATTGTAGATTGGTTATGTCACATAGGGCCAATTGGCTCATCCAGCCCTAACTGTCTTTATGTAAGAGCAACTCACTTTGCCATTTTGCTGCAGCCCTGAAAAAGATTCATTTTGGGGTGCCACAGGAAGTGCTTGAAGCAGAGTGCTTTAAGGAAAATTGGTTCAATATTTGAAACAGAGGAATTTCTGTGGTTTTGAGACAATGGGATTGATACAGGGCTACGGTAATTCAGAGGGATTATTAATAAAGTCACAGAATCATAGAATCCCTACAGTGCAGAAAGAGGTCATTCTACCTTCCGAAAGCATCCCACCAAGACCCAGGTCCCTACCCTAACCCCATAGCCACCCATGCACCATGATAAATGACCAAGCCTACACATCCCCATACAATATGGACAATTTAGCATGGTCAATCCACCTAGGCTACACAACTTTGGACTGTGGGAGGGAACCAGAGCACCCAGCTGAAACTTGTGCAGACACAGGAGAATGTGAGAACTCCATACAGTCAGCCAAGGCTGGAATCAAACCCAGGTTCCTAGAGCTGTGAGGCAGCAGTGCTAACTACTGAGCCACAGTGCCACCTTTAAATTACTCTACCTTAGAGCTGTTGGACCAGATTGCTTCCGATTGTGCTATAAACCTTTGTGGGTCTACAAATCAAGCACAAAATCGGGATTATTTCTGATTTGTTCCTGTTCAGCTAATTGATCACCATTTCTTTTTAAGACTTTCTCTCCATATTCTCTGTACAGGAACTGTGTGGCCCATATGTATTTGTCATTTTTGCTGGGCTTCTCTTTGGTTTCACCCTGTTCACATACTTCAGAGTACCTGAGACAAAAGGCAAGACATTTGAACAGATCGTGCAAGGATTCCGACAACAGAAATCTACATCACAACAATTCAAAGCTTCTGCTACTGAGCTGGAACCTTTGGGTAATGCAGAGGCCTAATGGATGGACAAAGGGAAAAGATCAGATTCTGAAACTTTCTACTGTGCATATTGATGTGAATGGATTCAAACTAAGACTGAAAGAGGAACCATGTAATATGATATACCAGTACCTTTAGGGAAACGTGTTGGAAAATTGCTGTGCCTCTTCCCTGTTGTTGGATGAAACCAGAACATCGACAATGCATACTGGTATTGTATGAAGAATGACTAAGTGAACGCATTTAGTAAAACATATTTCCCAGTATAAGCTGGTTCTAGTCTGGGCTGGATCCTGTTGTAAGCTGGATCCCAGCATGGCCTGTATTGCCTCTTTTTCCTTTGCTCCAATGCTCTCATGGAGTTGGACAATCAAGATCAATCTACCAATCATCCATGATTAGTCTTAAATTTCTGGTGATTCCAGGTTAATTCCTGGATCCTGGTGTGAATTGCCCTGGAGGAACATCATCAATTTGTTTTTCTCTCTGTTTTCCTTGAATACTTTTACTTGAAAACATTCAGAGATGGGGAGAAACAAAAAATCCTTTTGACCGACAGTTGAACATTAACCAATTCACTAGTGACAACCATCGATGAAATTAGGGCACAATAATAATTGTGCTAATGAACAACAGTTTAAGATTACTCTGTGTGGAATTGGTCAATGAATACTTACCTTGTTTAACTGAAGCTAATTGACCAATTGTCCTAAAACAGAAATTAACCCCGTTTATGTAAAATATATCAGCAACATATGTTAAAATAACAGAACCACTTCAGACGAACTGATAAAGGATTTTGGAAATAGAATATAACTTTTTCGGGGGGGAGGGGAAAGAGAATGCTGAAATGAAATGGTGCCTATTGTACACTCTGCCTGACCTTTGTTTCATTGATTTTAATGCAAAGGGTGATGGTGACATGATGTATGAAGGACACATGATGATTCACCGCCACACAAATTGTGGCTTTCCCTACTTCCGTTAATTGAATGCCATATTTTTTAGTGTGTTATTGCCATGCAGTTTTAAGGTTACCATTGGCTACACAACAGTGTTCTCAAATCTTGTCAAGAAGAATATTAGCAAGGATTTTGTGGTTTTAATGATGCCATCATTAGCTTATGAAACTGCCAGCAACTTCTGCCATCCACAAATGCACAGTTAAATGTGGAAATCCAGAAATTGCTATTTTTTGCTGTTCTGCGAGTGTCTGTAGATGCAAATCTTTCAAAATCACTGACTGATGAAAATTGTACTTTCTAAGTTGTAATCTTGCTGTTAACAATCCACAAAAAGTTACACCTCATTAATGAGGTTTTCCCAGGTTTTTAACAGTGTATTTCGTTACAACAAAAGCATAAATTCCTGGAAAAACTCAGCAGTTCTGGATAAACTCAATTGTACAGAGAAAGCAGAGTTAATGTTGTGCGTCCAGTGTCCCTTCTTCAGAAGGACCCACAACGTTAACTCTGCTTTCTCTGCATAGATGCTGCTGGACCTGTTGACTTTCTCCAACAACTTCTGTTTTTGTTCTCGCATCTGCAGTTTTTTTGTTTTTTTTTAAATTTAGTCACAACCACTGCTGAACAATCAAAAAACTAATTTTATAATTGTGTAGAGTAAGAAGTTTCCATTTTGATTAAAAAATCCATAATTTTAGAATAGTATTGTAAAATAATTTTAAAAAGTGAAGGACAATCAGTATATTCTATTTCTTAGTTTGCTACCTTTGAGAATACTTCAATGTTATTAGTTTGCTTACTCTTACTAGATTACATCACAATTGCTGGATGCCTGGAGATACCCTAGACTTAATGCCAAATTCAAATCAATATTAAGAAAGGGGAAGTCACCACCTGAAATAATGTTGGAGCTCTGTGAGTTTGGTTTTCATCAAGATCAGTGAACAGAATCATTAATTCTCCAGTGACCTGAAGAACAATTATTTTGCACAAATTTAGGCCATTTAAGCAGTGTGCATTGCTTCTCCCCACCTCCTACTTGTAGTCCTTCTGTTATTATGGTTTGAAAGGGAGGTGATAGAGCACTGCAAGTCTCTGGAGGAGATCAGAGGTGGAGAAGTACTTACGTACTATTGCTAATTAAATAATTTGCCTGTAATTGTTCATTTATTTTAAAATAACTTTTGCCTGACTGCTGAAACATTGAAAATGGCGGAACTGAGGATTTAACTGAATTTTCCCTCTGGTGGTTTGCTGGCATACCAGATTCTGTGGAAGCAACAACAGAGACATTCATTGATTCTGTCCTCTAGGTGATGGACTTTGCATCAGTCACCAAACCTGAACCCATCAGCCATCAGTGCTCCTGTCCAATCATTTGCCTCTGAGAGCCATTTTAGATTAATTTGGATTAATTTGGCAACATCTTATTCCTGATCTCAAAACACTCATAAGGAGCATAGCATGGAGCTGGATTGGAGAGGGATGGGCAGGCTGAGTAGGTGATCAAAGTATTAGCCCTGGGTTTCTTGGATGTTGTGATCAGAAAGCAATGACATAGAACTATGACACCAACGATTCATGGAAACCGATCCACAGAGCAACATATCACTCACTGCCTGTCTCTCAGCAAATGTCATCTGCTAAGCAGAGATTTGTAATGTTTGAGGATGGATTTAAGTCCCATTAACACATCTAGTGCTATTTTTAAAACAGACTAATATACAATTTATAACATTAAGTTGTTAACAGATTAAACAGTTGGTTACTGGAATTTCTTTCAAGACTTTTGATTTTTATGACGTGAAATGCAACAAAGAAAGCCTCTCTGATGTATTGTATGTCATTAAAACATGTTATAAGAAGAGGATGAGTAGGAGAAGGGTTGGGCTGTTGTGTCCAGGAAGAGCTGGAATATTACATACTCTTTATTTCTACCATTTTCCTCCCTTATTTCAGATTTGCAGCTTTTTGCCCAAGGGTTCTGAAGAAGAGTCATACTGGACTTAAAATGTTAATGCTGGGACTCCCTTGAGTGGCATGGGGAAGAATGTTGGAAAAATACAGCAAAAATGAAACAAGTTAGAAAAATTCCTGATTTTCCCTTCAAGCTTCAAACGCTGATTTCAGAATTTCACTAGAAAGCAATGACTACCATTTTTCCATGTCTTTGCATCACATTATTAGCCCAACTCATCTGATTTATATGCCATTTCAATATTTCTGTTCTTATCTGAGAAATGTGCTATACATGGCCTTCCAAAAGGCATTTGATAATAGTGTCACACAATAGCCTTGGGAGAAAAGCTATAGCTCATGGAATAAATAGGACAGTAACAACATGGACACAAAAATGGCTAATAAACAGGAGAAAGGTTTGTAGCAGAGCTCTCCCAGGGTCAGTTTTGGAACCCTTCATTTCCTGATATCTATTAATGACCTAGACCTTGGTGCTTGGGGAACAATTTCCAAGAATTTAAAAGTTTATGGAAGGTGCAAAGCTTTGTTAGCACAGTAAACTGAGAGAAGGACAGTGAAGAAATGTCAAAAGGACATTGACAAGTGGGTGGAATGGGTAGACAGATGGCAGATGAAGTTCAATGCAGAGAAATGTGAGGTGATAAACCATGGTTGCAAGAACATGCAGAGACAGTATTAAAATAAAGTGTTCTACCCAAAAGAGTGTGCAGGAGCAGTATGTGTGCAGAAGACTCAAGATGGCAGGATAGGTGAAGTGAGCAGCCATGATTTGTCAAAGATATGTAGAGTCCACGACCAAGGAGTTTATGCTGAACTTGCAAAAAGCAATTGTTCAATCTCAGATGGAGTATTTTGCACAGTTTTGGGCAGAACACCTCAGGTAGGATACAAACACAGTGCAGAAAGTGATTCTAGAGATGAGAAATTTCAGTTATGAGGTAGATTGGAGAGGTTAAAATGGTTCTCCTTGGAAATAAGCCTAAAAGGAGATTTGGTACAAGTTTTCAAACTTAAATGGGACTGGACAAAGTAGATAGGGAGAAACTGTTCCTGCTTATAACAGGATCGAGAACCAGAGGGCACAGATATAAGGCCATTTGTGAACAAAGTAATTGTGAGGTGAGAAAAACCAATCTCACACAATAAGTAGTTATGATATGGAATACACTGCCTCGAAGTGTAGTGGAGGCACGTTCAATTGAGGCAATCAAGAGGGTATTAGGTGCTTTAAATAGAAATAATATACAGGATTACGGGGCAAAGGCAGGGGAATGGCACTGAATCACAATGTTATTTCAGTGAACCAATGCAGATATCATGAGCCAAATGATCCTTTCTGTCCTCATAAATACATGGTTCCGTACGTCAAGTAGTCAGGCAATGGAATTCCCCACCGTTGGTGGCTTCCCAGGTGCAGGGCACTATAGACTGTACCCACGTTGTTACAGGTGCCCTGACATCAACCTCCTCAATTCATAGTTTCCAGTTTGTCAATGTTCAATTGATATGTAACTAGTGATGCCAGAATTTGGAGGTCTGCACTGGATGACCTGACAGCTGTCATGATGCTTATGGAATAGACAATTACAGGTTCCTGCTCCCATCCAAGGTCCTTGGGCTTTACAAGGATGGCTGCTGGGAGACAAGGGCTACCCCCTACAAGCATAGCTGATGACAACTTTACAAAGCCCTCAGAGCTACGCAGAATGAAGATATACAGAAAGCAACTATAGTTCTGAGTGGGTTT